CGGGCGCCTGCGGGGTTGGGAGCGTGCGCGGTGCCGCGCTGGAAACGGCCGCGGTGTCACGGTTGAAATGCCCACAGTGTCGCGGTTGAAACGCCCGCAGTGTCACGGTTGAAATGCCCACAGTGACACGGTTGAAATGCCCACAGTGTCACGGTTGAAATGCCCACGGTGACACGGTTGAAATGCCCACAGTGTCGCGCTACGTCTTTCCCCGCTTTTGGCTTTCTCCTTCAACTCGGCGTGGACCTTTTTCTGAGCGTGGACCATGTGTTACTGAACGTACTCGTCGTGACCTGGGCGAAGGCGCAGAGTCACTCTGAGCAGCTTTGCAGGAGATAGATACAGAACTGGCAGGAGTGGCTGGGGCCCTGGAGGGCTGTGCTGCCATCCAGGGGGACCCGGACAGACTGGAGAGTGGGGCACAGAGGAACCTCCTGGAGGGCAACAGGGACAAGCGCAGGGTCCTGCCCCTGGGCAGGAGCAACCCCAGGCACCAGGAGAGGCAGGGGGGGACCTGCTGCAGAGCAGCTCTGCAGAGATGCTGGACAGCAGGGTGACCATGAGGCAGCAGTGTGCCCATGTGGTCAAGAAGGCAGAGTGCTGTCAAGTGGTGGAGGAGGGATGTGTGTCCCTGACCCCCGCTCAGTGTTGGCGAGGCCCCACCTGAGGTGCTGGGTCCAGCTGTGTGCTCCCCAGTGTGAGAGGGACATGGATCCACCGGGGAGTGTCCAGTGAAGGGTCATGTGGTTGATGAAGAGACTGGCGCATCTCTCCTACGAGGAAAGGCTGAGGGAGCTGGGACTGTGCAGCCTGGAGAAGACATGACTGATCACATCTCGCCTCAGCCTTGTCTTAGCTTGTTTTTTGTTATGAAAGATGCCTAAGGGAAAATTGTAAAGGCTTTGGGGCCAGACTCTCCATTGGTGCCCAGCGATAGGATGAGAGGCAATGGGCACAAACACAGGAAGGTCTGTCTGAATACGAAGAAAAAATTCCTTACTGTGAGCGTGACTGGGCGCTAGAGCATACAGAGACCTGTGTGTGAGTGTTTGCCTGGTGCACTGCTGCAGCAGTCGATGAGCAGCAGCTCTGAGTGGTCTGTCAAACAGTCGAGATGAGCCTGGAAGATGTTGTAGAGATGAGCCTGGAAGATGTTGTTCCCCTCGTAAGCCTGAACGGAGCAGAGCTCTGCCTTCGGGCAGCCTGTGGAATGACCGGGTCGGAGCTCGGAGCTCGCACAACCAGAACCCCTGGCACCCACCTCCTCCCGCCATTGACACCCCCTGCTCCCGCCAGCAGGGAAGGGCCAACTTGCCCCTTACTTTGCAGTGCTCCCTGTTTAATTAATCCCTTCTTCCCTGAAGCGATGAACATCCCAGCTCCTTCACTCCTATCCCATTATGTACTAACTGATCTAACTGATGATGCCTGTGTTTAGTCAGACCTCACCTAGACCACCACCAGGACCTGTTACAAAACACCTAAAGGGTATCAAAACAACCTTATCATTGGACACACACCCTTCTTGGTACTGTGGGGAGTTTTTAGTTTTGAGTACTGGCATAAGAAGGATAAAAATAAGAATAACAGAACAGAATAGTCACATTTTGTTTTCAGTTTACTTAAAGCCATAAAAAACACTCATAAGGTTAAGACATTGCAACAAAACAATTCATAGGAGAGGCAGATTGGCATGAATGGAACAAGTCATAAAGATTTAATAGACTAATATAAGGCTGTTGTGAGAATAAAGCTTAAAAATATTTTTAAGTAGGCTGGCCAAAAAAGAAAAAAAGAGCATGATGAGTTTCTTACAACAGCATAAAAAATGTGTTCATCCAAATCACTTTTCTAATCTCTGCAAGCCAGAGTTTCCAATAAATCACTTTCTGTATTGAGAAAGGGTACTTATGCTAAATTTGAAAAAATATTTTTTTTTGTTGAGACTTCAGAAAATTTCAGATTCTTTTCCCCTTTTGAGTAAAACGATAAATTTTGATCATGGGCATACAAGGATCAACGTAAGAGAGAAAAAAGGCAAAACAAACATGCAGATGTTTGCACTGATATCTGCATGGTTTATTTTGCTTTATTTTGTGTCCAGCATATGCACACTTTTGTCCTGATACAAGATTTTTTGTTTTCCCGTGGAAATTCCTCAACAGAAAGAAACATTAGCAGGACAAAGACCTACTTCCCGTGCCTTTTCTAAGAAAAATACTAAGCCGTCACCATTTCTTACAGACAGCTCTGGCTTATCAAGTGAGGAATGTCCACTGAAAGGCCTCTCAATGGCCAGCCTTATCTGCAGCATTAATTCCTGAGAAAGAGGACATTCTCATTAATGCTTCCCTTTCTTAGCCCAAAACTGTCTTAAAATGCAGAGGCGTAAGAGGTGCAGGGGATATCTTTTAGCTAGGCTACATCCAATGTAATACTGAAGACCACCTGCACTTCTGCAGTAAGCTTTTGGGGGCTTCTCTTTTCTGTATCTTTCCCCACCACCAATCCGTAAATATATAAAAGAAAAAGAGGTCATAAAAATCTCCCTCCTCCCCCTTTTTTTTTTAATTAATTAGGAATGCATATGCTTGTTAGCAAAAATATTTAGCACTTAGAAAACAAAAGCTAAAATACAAGATAGGACATGGTTCTCGCTTTAGAGGTTTTGCTAGAAACATTACTACCTTTAATTTGAGAGGTCTTTACCACAGTTGTCCTCCTGAAATGTTCCAGCTTTAGCCCTTATCTTTGCTTAGAATGAGATTTGGAAACTGCTGTGACTCTCACTACCTAGGGCAGATAGTCACCTTCTGTATGTAGAAAATAATTGCTTCCTCTTCTTCACAATCTTACTGTTTTTAGCAAAGGGGGAATCCATCATACTTCTTTCGTAAGTAATTACCAGCTACTACCAACAGAGGGGAAATTATTTCTTAAATTCTTAAATTCTTCTGCATCAATTATCCCCTGACACATATATAGTATTCACGGAGGATGGAACTGATCTTTCTTTCTCTTTTTTCTTTTTTTTTCAATCTCTAAGCTTAAAGAACCATGAGCTACAAATAATCTGTACTGAGATTATAGTTTTTATGTTCCTAAGCATAATATGATAGTTTCATGAATTATTCTTTGGTTACCATAGCCTCAGAACACAGTGTAGGATAGGCAATGCCTATTAAGGAATTTCCTATTAAGGAAAGATAGTCAACTTCTAACTATTCTTGACTTTGTAATAATCCTCAGAAACTTAATATATCCATTACTGCCATAGGGGTAGGAGTCATTTTTTTTGCTATCTGCTCTTTTGCCTTCATTCTTTCATGGAGTACAAGTGCATTATAAAATAAAATTCTACACTGGTAAAGCAGATAACACACTCTGTGTGGTAGATTTCTCTCAGTGGTTTGGTTTCAGGACTGGCATAGTCCACTGAAAGGATAATGCCAGCACCTAAGATAATGCAGTTTCTTCAAGAATCACTGAAAAACTTCCTCAGTGAGACATTTGTTTGACAACTTTGTGTTTTATGTATTAGAGTAATATATCTTTAACCTTTTAAGCATACCTTTCTTATCAGATGTATCATCTGGCTGATGAAGTCTTTTGCTTGTTTTGAACTCAGAGGATCCTTGCACCTTGTTAAGGTCATTTCCAGTCATTTCATAAACTGCTCAGTTATTTCTTAATCTAGAACTACAGGAAAACTGAGCTGTGCTTTTTCCAATGATTGTATGGCAAATGCCAAGTTTTGATACCAAACTTTGTTGGTTTTGCACCAGAGAACTTTTGCTTTCATGCACATCCACATGATCAGCTCCTTCACGCTGCAGCTTTTGTTCCCCTGTGCTATTTGAATATAAGCCTTAACAAAACTGCTATACACAGCACTTGCAAAATCAATTAGCGGTCTCTGAATGTTTCACAGTTGCAGAGTCTTTCTCAATGCGTATCTCATTTCAAAATAATAATTATTAAATCACAGTACAGCCAATGACATGGAACCATACACATTTCTTCTCTTTAAACTGAATGTAGCAAGCATAACTACTTAAGCTCTGTATATATTTATTGCATATATGTACACAGACATAGGTACATGCATAATTTACTTCCTTCCACATTCATGTTTAATTATTCAATACAGCCTTTTTCTTTTCA